TCAGGGAGGATAGCAGCATTGGCTCGACACATCGGTAGGCCACCGCGAGTCATTGTAAAGGCCGCATGTGCATCCAATTACCTCCAACGATGCTGAGTGAAGGTGAATGCATGGCGCATCCCTCAGGGATTGATCAATGCTGAAAGCTTTACCCTTTTTTATCTTTTATCCTCATGATGTTCGTATAAGATTCGGAATTTCCAGTTGTTAATGAACTTGGGTACATGCATGTGTACTGCACTATGTTCCCAGCAGAATCTACTAATATGTAGGTTTCCTTGATGGGAAAACATTTCCAACATCAGAGGATCGATGTTCTTTACTTGTTGATACGTTTGTAATTCGAGAAGTAGTAAAAACGACAATATGCTTTAGCAGATGTAAAAGAGAGTCAATCTTTGAATCAATCATATCCATGTACATGCGTCCGAATACAATTACGCAATCAAAACTAACAATATGCTAAACAAAAAAAACCTTAGGAAAAGCAGTGTTATGACGCGAAGACTTCGATAACAAAAGATATGCTGCTTATAAAATCCTTTTTTTTTTCTCTTCATAGCGATAGAACTATGTAATGCTAATGCACCTATAAGAAGCTTTGAGAGGTCAGCGATTCCAACATATCTTCAAAGCTCTCCACTTCATTGTGAAAATCAGAAACAGTAAAAGCACTACTTTTTCGGGGCAAATGGAATGATAAGTGAGAAACTAATGCTCTGAATTTTCAAAACAACAAGACTGGTTAGTTCTGTGTTAAAGGCGATAGAGTGTGTCAATTCGAGTTCAAAATGCCTATGAATAAGAAATACACCGTAGGTGGCGGGTTTCTTTTCAAAAGTACCATGATTTTCTGCACTGATGCAAAGAAAATTCGTTATGTAGGCTTCAAGTCTATTTCTCATGTACACTTCAGGCAAGAAAACAACAAACTTTTAGACCTCGACCAACCTTAAAGAATCTCAATGCAATCAACTACACTCGATTTTCTAAACGTTCGGAGACGATGAATGCGGCTGTAGTTTGTAAAATAAACCGTGAAATTTCCTCAACCGTTCTTTAGACAACAAGAGCCCAGTAATGAAGTTGATGTTAAATTTCGGATGTTTACGAATGAAGCTTTCAAAGTCCTTAATCACTGTCGCGCTAACCTCACTGAAATACAAAAACGTGGTATGCGGGAGGTACGAGAGCGATAAGATCAAAAAACATAGGACTATCGGTTAGTGATAAGGGTGGAGAGTTCGTTGTAATTCCCCATCAGTTAGATGTTGAGATAACGGAAAAGCACCTTGAAGATGCTTCCCTTTATCGTCCGTCGTCTGAGAAAGAATTTAAAAGTCAATACCGAAAGTTAAACAACGAATGGGTTAAAGTGACAAGAGCGGCCGGGTTAAAACCATCAGTTATTTCTCATCTCAAAATCGACTTACCAACATGTCCCGTCCTGTACTTACTTATCAAAACCGATAAGTTGGCATCCAGCGATGATCTCGTGTCTACCGATCCATCGTTATTTAAGGTTAGACCTATATCATTAGCTGCGTGGACGAGCCAACGGATAGAATAACGGGGTTAATAACCCTACTACTTATTCAGTTGTTGAAGTACGTTCCAGCTCATCTAAAGAACACCCAAGTGTTCCTGGATCGTCTACGTAACGCGCGAAGCAACAGCGCGTACGTGGTGGAGTCCCTCGACGTCACTGCCCTCTACACGAACGTGTCGAATGACTCCGCTATGAAAGCCACCCTTGAGCTCCTTATACAACACGAAGGAGCAATAAACATGTACGGCTTCTCGATCCAGAAGTTGATGACACTCTTAAAGGAGTGCCTAAACTGCTCAATCTTCAGATGGTCCGGGAGGTATTTGGCAGAAATGAGAGGGGTGGCAATGGGACAACGACTGGTACCAAGCCTTGCCATTGCATTCATATAAGATGGAAGCGCCAGTAATCGACCTCGGTCCGTTACTCTACTCTAGATATGCAGATGACTGCTTGGTCATTTGTTCAACACAAGAAGAAATTGACAGATGTTTCGAGTTGTTGAACGAACAGTCAGAGTATATTAAATTCACACGAGAGAAACCAAAAGAAAACGGGCTTCCATTCCTGAACGTGCAAATTAACCTATCAGAAAACGGCTACATTACGAAATGGTATTGAAAGCCACGTAGTAAAGACATCTTGGTTCATTACCTCCGTCCTCACTCCTCTCACACGAAAATGGCGCTTGTGAGAAACATGTTTCGAACAGCTACCAGCGTGTGCACAGGAAGACAACAGAGAGAGGAGTACCGGAACATGGCATGCCCATTTTCCACAGAACATGGCCAAATAGCCATTTTTAATGGCTACGAAACTGTAGCTCGAGATAGGTGTAGGGGAAACCACAGGTACCCTAACGATAACTCTAGCGACAATAACCTCCCGTTTATACTGCCCTTCATTTCAAATGAAGTAAGTGCAGCTATAAAACGCTGTTTAGAGAATTCAGTAACGATAATTGAAATTCCACCAAGTAATCTAAGACGCCAGCTAGTTCGTAACCGCCTATACGTCCATGTGCAACGCAATATTGAATTACTTGCCCTAACGGTAGAGACGGTGACTGCATGAGTTCGGGTACAGTCTATCTGATCTCTTGTAAAGCGTGCGGGGACGAATACGTTGGCGAAATAGATAGACCACTCTACGTGCGTATAAAAGCATGAACACCTAGTCGGCAAACGTGAACCAAATACTCCACTAGGCACGGATAGGACGCAGAGACATAACGGGGAGAATTTTGAAGTCGCGCAAGAATCGAGAACACAAGCGCGCAAGACTCTCCAGGCGCTCTTAATTAATTCCAGAAATCAGAAAATGAACCGCAGAGAAGAATGGTTGATTATCACACGTGATATTGAGCAGTATACAAGCCTGTTATTTTGATGAGATGGGCAAAATACGATTCCGTGTGAATTCTGTGCGGTTGGTCTCCACGTGACATATTTAGTGGTAGGCTCATAGAAAGCGGTGAGTGTGCAAAAACTCTGTGTTCAATGTGTTTGAAGTTTTGGTTCAGCATTTTCTGCTTGGTTATGGAGATGTTTGGCCATATAGATTGCAGTCAACTTGACCTCTCCAGGCTCCGAGGAAGGCGAAATCCGCCGAAACGTCAGCTTGTACGTAAATAAAGAAATAAAATAACAACTCGTGTTTGTTGAACAGAAGTAGAAAGAATTAATCCGTGAAATCTTCACATATATTTATATATACACGTATATGTATACGTTTATATGTATATATACGTATAAGTATAAGTATATATATATATATATATATATATATATATATATATATATATAAAATAGAGCACAACGAGACGTAGAATTGTGCAGTTATCCAACACATATTCTGAGGAAACAAACCATAGATGCTTCAAAACGAAAACAACCCCATCAATGAAATTGATCCAGTGTTGGTCACATGGTAATAAACAATATTTACCTTTCCTTCCATGACGATCAGAACATAAACAACATTATGAAGATTAAAAGAACTTAGTTCCAACAACTATGGGTAAATCCAACAAAGTTAATCAGGCTAGTGCAGCAAGCTCTACAAACTTTTCTAAGTTCTCAACATATGGTGCCAACGACGTGTGTTTGTAACCTGAAGTAGATATTTTCATGACCACATTCATACAAAGCAGGCAAAGACGAAAACATTGACATACACAGCGTTAGAAATGGAAGACTTTTAGCTTGCAAAGCATATGAACTGACCTAGTAGCTTCCGATTTTCTTTTACATGTTCTTCTACCAAGACTTTCGATAATTCGTTGATCAGGGTGCTAAATCAAGAACACAGTTCATTGAGGAAAACAAAACATTCCACGAACCACTAAGAATTTTTAAGCAGAGATTGAATGATTTTTAGGATGAAGGTAGATGATGCTACTTAGGTCTTAAGTAGCAATGATTTTGTGAAGGGCTAGAAGGATCAGATTCATCAATAAGCTGGAAAGAACCTAGCCCTGTATCATAAGGAAGATGCATGGCAAGAATACCTGAACAAAGTGCGTTCATAACAGAACAGACTTATTAAGAATGACTCAACAGTAAAACGCCTGGGTGACTGTCAAAAGATACCAGAACTAAAAGGGAACCTCACAGTGACTTCGAATCCGTGATCACCCTTACCGAAGACACGTGTTACTCACTGCACTGACCGAGGCTTTCGTGTTGTCTTATTTTCAATCACATTTTTACACTATCGGTAGCACGACCAATCACCCGTAAAACAGCCACCGAGCGAAAACACAGCATGCAGAATAGCAAAGCACGGGCCTCGATTGCTGTGTTGGATACCATGTCAGCCTTCCATAGGGATAATCGCCGATTCGAAGCCTATCAGAAGCTCCGAGTTCTGCTCATATCTCAGCATCCAGAAGGATGCATTTCACATAATGGTCCTGCGAAAGAAAAGAATGAGTATAAAACAAAAGTTAGAACATTGTGACCCTGCAACTCTTTTAAATAGCTTGAGGGAAAAAAACATGAGTGAAGCAAAAATAAATATTAGATTCATTCATGCACTTTTTGTTCCACTGAATTCTTACTAGTGCATGGAGGGATGACGAGTGGCATATTTTCAGAGTCAAACAGTCAACTATGTCACCTAAACCAACGACTCCCAGCACAAACATCGAAAAACAAGTTGTGCTCGCAGAGATTCAAAATACAGGAATATGATGAGGCTACGAGCAAACCCAAGAACAATACTCGTCAATAGCCCAAACGGACCTCATGATGCATCTCTGCACAAGACTCTACAACCTCAGCAAATGTCAAAAATCCTTGGAAGATTTTATAATGAAGAATTTTGATTCGCATAACATATCCTTTAAACAAAGAAGGAAGATTTCAACCTCTTATATTATCATGCAAAAATCTCACAGAAGAAAAAATAAATCAATCTGTCAACGGAATTGAAAGTCTGAATTATGAACTCACTCGATACGTGGACACGTTGATACGTCAAACTGACTAATTTTGCCCACATCAAGAGGGACGGCAACATTCCCCGTTTTCGGGTGTATACAAAACGGCGACTTAAGCAGATGATTTAGTCCTAAACAGTTTTTAAAATTGCCAGTATATTCGTTCTTTTGACTACTAAGCTACTTCTATTTTGATATTACTTTAAATTTTAAATATGATAACCTGTGGATACATTGACATCCAAACGAGGGTACGTATGCCATAAGACGAACCAACGAAGGAAATTTTTACCAAGATCGCTTGTTACCTAAACAGTATTTAAGGTAAACCTGGGAAACTACTGCGTAGAACAAAATGCGATTCAAGCTAGAAGGTTACAACGGCCCTACGACATTGATCTAAAAAACTCCATCTACTTCCAACTTAGAAATACTTATCCATGTCCATTCGTCCTTTAGCAACCCTAAATATGCTGCCAAACTGCTTCTCGGTGTCAGACTGCGACGTACAGTGAAGGATCCATCCCCTGGCATGGTCTCCCAAGATGAGAAGAAGCCCGGCATTTCCATAAGGATGACGAGCTAAGAGTAAACCAATACCAGGATCCACCACCGCCTTGGTACCAAATTAGTCGCATGGTGGCAAATCTCCCTCTAATTCACAAAAGCGGGGTCCCCTGTAGTGGCGACGACCTGGGCAGACTTTGACCAGGCTGATCTCGGGACTCCAGAGAACCACAATGGTTAAACCAGCAAAACTCAAAAAGTATAAATTATACTGGGGCCCGTACACTTAGTCAAGACGGCCATCCAAGTAAGTACTAAGATAAATTCGTTTTAAAAACTCGATTCAAATAACGAAACGCCCACCATTGGAATAATTTGGTTCGTACGTCTCATTTCCAATCGATATTGTTCATCAAACCGACGCTTCAAAAGTTGCCATCGTTTATCAGCACTGTCAACTCTAAGAAATAAAATACGCATAAAAGTGGTAAGTGACAATGAACAACTTTTGCTGATGTAGTGAACGTTACTAGAGACGCTACCCACTCTTCGAACTGGGAATGAAGAGTGGCCCTTAGTTCAGGATCTTCGCAATGTTTCAGGATTGAGAGTGCTGCCTCGAGTTCTAGCCATCCCTGCTCCAAAACCTGATCAAAACGTTATGAGATAGTAGTAGAACTAATACTCAGTTCGGATTCTAATTAAAGATACAGCACTTCGAAACACTAATCATATAATAACTCGTAGAAACAGACCATTTTGTCCACTTCTCCAGAGTCCATTGCAACTCGATAAGCAGTCTCAACTATGGGATGGACGGGCAGCATTCTTTTTGCTATGCTCAATCGACTGCCATATAGGTCGAGCTTTTCACCCTAAAAGACCAAATATAAAAAGACCAAAAGCTGTCGACGTTGATCATTTTCTGAGAGTGCGCTATGCAACCAACTTCTTTAAGCTTCCTTGGAGGGGACTGAATGCATATCTGGCCTCCACAATGACTTGCGGTGGGCTATCCATGTATCGAGTCAGTGATGCCGTGCTACTGGGACGAGTATGGTATCAATTTGCCGACTCCGGAAGGATAGAGGGCTTGCTGGGGAGGGATTCGGAGATCGATTCCATGGGTATTACAGGGCGCCTCCGACCACTGCGCTATAGGATCAAATGTACTTTTGTAAAAACAATGTTTCAAGTTACAAGTCGATTTTATATTGATTGGTTTGACCCATGTTTAAAAGGATAATTTCGAACACAATGAAAGTAGTCGTGCGGATTTTCTCTCAACACAATAATGAATTTTGATCCTTGTTCATTAAAATATCAGATAAAGAAACGAAAATTAGACTATGCGGACTAAAATGACCCCGTCATGAACTCACTACGATCAGAGATAGATACTCAGCAACTGCAGAACGTCCAGCATTTGTTAACTTCCTTGCTTTTTCGTCCCCGACCCAACAATGCACACCACGTCGACCGGAAAACACCCACATTCGTGCTGTGAATCCAAAATGCTCTAAAGTAGAATATACGGGTTTTTACGAATATTGGAACCAGGTGCACAAGTAGAATCACCTTCTAGTAGTTTATCAAGCACTTGAACGGCAACGGAAATGAAACGCCAACACTTTTCACATACTTTTGCTTCCCTGAAATCTGATACTACAAATCCTGAAGTAACAACCTTAATCGAAGACGTAAACCATGTACTAATAAACCAATGGCACCCACGAGCAGCACTTTCGAACACTGCCATAATCAGTTAGATCGATGTCGAAGACAAGTTCCCTCTCAAGTGCCTTGAAATCTGAATGTTTCTTATTGTCCTTGGGCTGAAAAAAAGAATAAACCTACTTAAAATCAACAAAGTTAAGAAGAAGCAGAGGAAGATAAAAAAGCACACACTTATGAGAACATCACTGGTGCACAATGTTCTTTGATATCTAGCTGGATTCACAAACCTTATGCGAATAGAACGCTCCAATATCCAGCTTATGAGGACTGATCTTGCACAACTCATTTTCGAATTCGGCCTGATTATCGAAACTACGATAACGAAGGTGCACATCTCCCTCCAAAATGAATGCAAACTCACGTTTCGCAAAGTACTCCTCAGGTTCTGAAACAAAATCTCATACTTCGAATAATTGAAAAGCCACATAGAACTACTGCACTATATAAGTTAACCTTAAAAATCAATTGTTTAAAACTTCTCCTTCGTTTGGGTCACGAAACCTCTTCATGTGACAGGCATTGCGCTGGTTCGTGGCTAAGCCATTTGGCGTATCCCCACTTAGAGGAACAGGGCATTAAATGGAGGTCCAAAGCGATCACGCTCCCTAAGAAGGAATCGAGGTAATGCCGCTGCCTTGTACTTTTCTTAGACAAGCAATTGTCTCTATGTATAAAGTCGCATTTCATGTGTACGCCGAATAACCGCTACACGTTTATTCTGTCGAAGGCCTGCAACCAAGTCATTGAAGTCGCTTCGAACAAGCGCTCAGCATCTACTTTGGGAAGACAATTTATGCGACAGTGCCCTTTCCCCAAAAACGGTAAAACCAGTAAATGAAGGGTTCTAAGCGGACGAATTGGGTTTCTAGTGCACCTGATCCAATCAGTGGATAATTTACAGCTTTCCAGATGATAAATGCGATATTGCAGTAATTTTTTCTTCTAAACGACCGTCTTCACATCTTGAACCCAGCAGTTATTGCATTCGACTCGTTTCCTTACATCTATCATCCATGAAGCTTTTCTATCTTTTTCATGTATGGATTCATCTGCTACTTGAGGATTTTCTTTCATCTTCGTCACCAATGTCGTTGAACGCTGGTCGAGTCGATGATCTCTGAAATCTTGCAATAGCCGTGCTGGGACGCTCCCGCGTGGAATGGGAAAACCCAGCTTGTCCCAAACAAGTCTGGCAACAATTTCCCGATCCCAGAGGGATGGGAGAGGTGATGAATGAATCCTGGTATTGGTTTAATCTTGGCTGGGCTTCTAGATGAAAACGCCGGACTCGTTCTCAGCTTGGGAGACCCTGCTTGTGGGATGAATACCCTCGCTGTAGCTCGGCAACCACGAACACCTCCCAGCCACGATGAGGCGGTAAACCGTTCGGAGGGAGACAGAAAACAGATTGAATAAATAATAGCAGAAAAATAGGACCTAATTCTGAGCAGAGTTTTCAACGAAACCTACTTCGATTGTAGCACAACCATTTTACATATGGCTTAAACGGAAATATTCGTTTATAGTACTGAGGCAGAAATTGGTCGAGTAGCGACGAGTCGTATAGCGACATAGGCTTTACTGAAATATTACGAAAACGCTAAATAATGTCACATACTGAGGACCTAGAATTCTAAGGCGTTGAAGAAGTGCACAAAACTTCCTGAATTGAAGATGGTCTAATTATGTCCTGAAAAAGTTTTACACATGAAAAGTCCGAACAAAAAATTTAAGCTCTGAAACAACCAAGTCACCAATCACACCATTTCCTACTCCTAAACCTTCTACGTAATCAATAAATGAGCAATTCGTACAATTGGAAATGAGCAGACAGTAAGCTGACAGTAAACATGTACTTTGCAAGATGGAGTACTGCACTTCGCGCGCAAACGATTTTAAAAATTTGCAGTGGAGCGCACTATTAAACGCTCTTTTTGAGTGATTCACCGTGGACAAGCCAGAAATGTTCCAGTCGAATACTTTCAGATGTTTCTTGTGTTCATGAGAACAGATGACCTTCATTTACTCATCGTCTAGAGGCGAGTGATCAATGGGCACTCTTTGCTTGTGTGTGTTTCTGGACGTTTTGTGCTCTCATCTAAAGACACGAATACGGTTTTCGTGGTAAATGATCTCCTTTGGAGAATAAAAATGATGAAGGGTAGTGTTTTAGGCGTCGATCAATTCCTGAGGAATGCGCTATGCACTCGAATTCGTTAAGTATCGTTGGAGGTGATTGAATATATATCTGGCCTTTACAATGACTCGCGGTGGCCTACCTATGGATCAAGCCAGTGCTGCTATTCTCCGAAACAAGTCTGGTACCAATTTGCGGACCCGGAGAGATGGAAAGCTTGGTGGTCCATTCGCGCGAGATTTGATTCCATGTGTGTGTCGGAGGATGCTTCCGACCACTGCGCCACACGCGCCCTTTAGAGAATGGTCTGATTAAATTGTATGAGATAATGGCCGCAACGTAAGCTAGAGAAGGCTGGTAGCGCAGTGGTAGTGATATCGTCCATCTAAGTAAGCACGATAATGGTTCTACTCCGACGCTCTCCCCAATCTAAGTGGGGACGCCATAGCTCTGTTATCTGCAAGAATTCAAGGAGGTTCGGCTCGATCAGCGTTCTACAACATACACAACGAAGAAGACAATCCTCAGACAGCGGCTGAAACAACCGGCGAAATGTTCGAACGCCACTGTGGTCGATGAGGAAAACGAGTGGAATGTAGGAATTGCTAGAATCCCCACAGTAGATGTGATGAAGGATCGGGTAAATAATAGCATTAATTAGAATCACATGATGTGAAAGGTGTGCGCATAGCGCAGTGGTTAGAGGTGCCCTATAACAGACACGAGGTCATTGCCTTCTATTCCTCGCTCCGTGTTCATTAGGCGTTTCATCTCTGCATGGTCGATAAATTGGTAATCGGCTCTGAGGAAGACGAAGACGTCGAAACGTTAGCCGAAAATAAACATCATTATCAACCTCGTGTAAGCTCATCAAAGAAAGAATACATATTGATTAGTGATACCGAGGTTCGAAGAAAGTCGGTTTCGAAATATTACTTTTCCTAACAATTTGTGCATTATTTGAGATCCAGCAATTATATAGAACATACTAACGTTTGCGACTAGGAGTAGTCGAATTTATTTAGGAGTAGGAACTCATGCAGTTGAAGCACTTGTACAGTGAATATAAGAATTTCGCTTTTTTTTTCACACAATCGCGTTGCTCACGTCCACTGCACTCTTGAATTCGATTCACTCCCTCGCATCCATAATCTTCCTTCCAAATTTTACGTCTGGATTTACGTGCTGCTTGAGGATTGTCGTCTTCCTCATCAGTATCGCTAGATGTTGGTCGGAGTCAACGCTGCCTTGAGTCCTGAGATAGTTTGGTTAGAGCGTTCCCACTTGGAGGAGCAGTTCGGACACGGTCGAGTCCGGTGCTAATCTCTCTACCTCAAAGGGATGAGAGGATTGCTGAGCCTGAGGCGCCGGGTCGAACCAGCGATCACGTGTGTATTGCAAGGAAACTCTGACTACCATACTACCAAGCATTTATGGATTTAGAAATTGGTACTAGAGTTAGATTATAAAAACACTTGCTTGATAGATCAGCAGGCCACCGTACGGCGTTGTATGGTTTTGTTATGCATTCAATCACTCCTACAATGGTAAGAATGCAGTCGAATTCATAGTGCATCTCTTAGGGGTTGACCAACGCCGAAAGCTTTGCCCTTCATTCTTCATAGAGGGTATAAACTTCGGCAATCTTTAATGAATTTACAATGAATTATTCCTGGTTCAGTCCATTATTGATAAATGCTTCTGGTTTAATGTATTTAGCTATAAATGTGTATTGACAACCATCATATTATAAGAGTTCAAATCGCTTATGTTGCCTTTCGTGGTCTAATAATTTTCACTCACAGCTGAACTCCCTAATGTATTACTACTTGGATACCTGGATAATGGGACGGCCTATCCTCACTGGTTGCACGGACCCCAGCATAATCTCCATTTTTCGGAGATTTGCTGGTTAAGCCATTGTGGTTCCCTGGAATCCCGAGGACAGCCTGGCCAGTCTGCCCCATGTCGTCACCACCACAGCAATCGCTGCGCTTGTGGATCAGAGAGAGATTTGCCACCATGCGACTAGCTTGATACCAGGGCGGTGGTGGATCCTGGTATTGGTTTACTCTTAGCTGGGCTTCCAAATGAAAACGTCGGACTTGTTCTCAGCTTGGGAGACCCTACTCGAAAGATGAATCCTTCCGCTGTACATCGCAGCCTGACACCCGGGAACACCTCGCAGGCACAATGAAGCTGGAAACCGTTGGGAAATCTTAATGTACTATGCGATAGAATTTTTAGGAGATCAGGGGTAGCAGTAGGTTTTTTCACAACGATTAGGATAATAATATCTACATGTCAGTGTGATATCTTAACGATGTCATTTAATAGAACCACAACTGATGCTGATACTTGACAACTTAAAAAGTTCAAAGTTAAAAAGTTAAAAAAAGAAAAATCTGACTGAAGACGAAGTATTCCAATATTTATTCAAAATTAAATTTCCTTATCGACTCTTCTTTAGATGATTAAAATAGTAGACACGTTCATTTGAAATGGTTAAATTGAAGATTTGACGCAAATTCCCACGGTAGTTTTCATTCAAACCCATCTACGAAATGCTTGTGAAGGTACGCTGCTGATGCTGCTGCTGCTCCATTCTATACGTCGCTATCGTCTCCAACGCATCGATAAGAAGACGTCTGAGGTGTTCAACGTGACCATTTTCGAAGTTCCATAACTAGAAGAAAACATTATGTAGCAATTCCCAGTGCCCACATTCGATTAACCTCGATCCTTGATCAATAGTTTACTGCCATCTTGATGAAAAGACATTAGGTTATTTATTATGTGATCTTATAAACTGATCTTAAGCTGACGCGAGGTTGGTACAGATCTTCGTTGTCGTTGTTTTTGATGTTATTAAACGATGGCTGACGTTACGGCGACTTCGCCTTCCTCAGAGCCGTGATGTTACGTGCGGGACTTGTTAGTCATGCAACATTAGCTTAACAATTTGTTGGAAAAAACCGAAGTATTAATGAAGATCTAGCATACAAATAAACGTCATATTGATTAGAAACTACTCACTGTGTTGTTATGAGTGGACCGCCAGCATGTTAGTCAAATGGGATGACGATTGAGGTCCACCCACGGCAAAAAAGTCATTTTGAAGTAAGGCGCCAAGCTTAGCGTTGAAGTGATTGTCCGGATCCTAGCGCAGGAATAAAAACGCCTACGCGCAAGGCTCTTGAGGTGTTTTGGATAAATTTCAAAAACACAAAGATGAACCGGAAAGACGAATACCTCACTAACACACGCGATCAGGCTTCGACCTGGGTGTGTCTAACACGTCATCCCACGTGAGCAACACGTGAGCCAGTCCCACTTACAACACAAAAGTGAGCAGTTCGTGATCAATACGGCGCTTATTTATATGTTAGATCTTCATTAATACTTTAGTTTTTTGCACCGAATTATTAAACTGTTGTTGTGTTAAATACGTCCAGGCTTTAAGGAAGGATAAATCACCGAAACGTCAGCAATCGACCAACAAAAATAATAATAATAATAATAATAATAACAACGACCACTATACCAACCTCGCATCAGCTCAACAAGACCACTTCTTAAGGGCATATAAATAAATATATCGATGATTTATGCCGAAGTTCATAGCAAGTCGGTTTTTTGAGCTTTCCCCATGTTGTTGGAAATCTCTCTGAAATTTAAAGGGTTATAAAAGGACAAAGTTCTCGGCGTTGATCAATCCCTGAGGGATGCGCCGTGCATTCGACTTCATTAAGCATTTGGAGGTGATTGAGTGCATATCAGGTCTTTAAAATGACTCGCGGTGGCCTACCGATGTATCGAGCCAGTGCTGCTATGCTACCAGAAGTCTGGTAGCAATTTGCCGACCCGGGAGGGATGGAAGGCTTGGTGAGCCATTGGCGCGATGATCAATTCCACGAGTGTGTTGCAGGGTGCCTCCGACCACTGCGTCACACACGCCCAATTGAGAGCCTCGAGGACTGGCAAACACGGTCACGCCAAAATACATTTGGTGGCTCTGGATATCTTCACCAACAATAAAGAACTAAAAAGAAGGAAAGAAGAAGAAAGAGCTATAGAGGATACAAATGGTAAGAGGGTAGGAGCGCTCATTAATGCATGAAGGCAAGGAAACGAAAATCTCTTCGCCAAATTTCGGTCCAACAACGATATGTTCTGATGCAGGTTTTGAAAGTGAAAAGATACAATGTCTGTTGGAGGCTCACAAGCGTGAAAACGTGCGTGAGAAAACTCACTGGTAAATGAGGAATGGAAGGTTAAGCGTAGTGCTAGTAGAAACTAGATACGCTGTATATTACATAGAATCTTGACAATGGTATAATAACCTCTCTTGCGCGGTGAAACGAACTGACAGCAAACGTTCCAAAAAGAACCATTGCTATAACACCACTGGCAAGCACGATTCCTGTTGTTAACCTGAACTACT